TGTAACTAACGAAATATGTATAGTTAAAAATCATAAACACGATGTAGGAGTTTCTATTATTCATTACTTATTAAAATACAAAATCTTTTGTGAAAGAAATATTAAAAATCTGGTGTCCTCTTTCACGACTTTCCTACATACTTCAGAAAAGTTTTTATAGTGCAATATGAACCATTCGGTGGATATCAGGAGAGAAGTTTAAAGAAATTATGTTTATTAGATCCCTTTACACTGCGATGTCATCGGAAGTGTGGAAGAAGTCTAAGGAGCCATTTCAGCAGAAAAGCCAGGAAAAACTCTTATTATATCAATTATTGAAGCTCCTGTAAAAGATTAAAAAATATAATAATAATGTGGTGGAATAAATGAGAACAAAAATAATCTAATTTAAAGGAAATAAAAAGTCTGTGTTCCAAAAACTTCCCACCGATCTTGTATGCAAGAAGAAGCTCTCCTCCACTAATTAAGGGTCGGGCATTGTGAGTATTCACGTGCTTCTTTACTAAGAGGATTTAAATCCCTCAGGCACATTATCCAAGACTGCCCTGTGATCGAAATCTTAAGACATAATTTTTTATAGAACCAAATTTAAAAAAAAAAAATCAAAGGGCAGGGAATATGAAAGAGTATTGATAATAATTAATTATCGTTTGAGGCCCAGTACCTTTGTATCTTGGTTTGAAACATCAAAGAAATAGTGAACTTCAAGGACGGGTTTCAAAATGGATCTAGAGAAATATAGACTTCCAGCAAACGTCTGGAAACCTTCATTAAATTTAACATTCGAAGGACTGAACTCACTCCTTCAGTTAAATAAGACATTTAAAAAACACGGGCCGTGTAAGCATTACCAATCGCATTACTAGGAACCATGACAGATTCCTGAACGATTGCGTAAGGAGCCATGAAGAAATCACTTTCAAAACCTACTGCAATTAGTTGGCGTTTGGATACATTCGGAATTTTAAAGTTTTACTCATCTATCTCTTTCATCTCTAAGGTATTTTTACCCCGATACCTCTTCTGATGCCCATTCAGAGTTTGTTTGAAATAATTACTTATCCTAATTTATTATATTTGTTTCTATATAAAATTAAAAATATATATATATTTTTAAACTTAAATCTTCAGAGGCCTCTGTGTCTCGAGTTTTTTTATATATTAGTTAAATCAAATAAATACACAATAAATATTTTTTTAGTATTTTTTCTGTAGTTTTTATAATACAGATTTTTTTTTTTTTTAAATTGTGGAAGAAGTGGAATTTAACTATGATTTTTGGTCATAAATATTTTTTTAATTTACGATCGATGCTACTTGAATTGAGTTGGACAACTCATTTTAAGCTAGTTATACGGGTTTTATTTAAAATGTAACAACCTCAACAAAAACAAAATTGTTGGTAAAGTATAACCATGTTTTATTGAAAAATATCTTAAACATCATCTCTTAAAGTATTGTTTTAGTGTAATTACATTTAATAGGACTTCAATAATCACTTAAACACCATGTCATATAAGTAGTTAGTTTCTTTCTTATTTTTTTTTTCAAATTATTCATTGTTATATATATGAAAACAAAAGCTTTCGGTCTGAAGCTTCCCCCCCCCAACTAAAAAATTATATCCTGGATCCGCTAGTACCAGTGGATAAAACGTTTATTAAATAAAACGTTGTTATTGAATTATATTACTACCTTTGCAACGACGTAGTAACGCTTCTAGCAAATTTGATGATAACATAAGTTGTGTTGAGTTATAGATTCATTGGTGAAACGGAAAATCTCTTTGCAATTTTCTTTTTAATCTGCGTCGTACGGGTACCGTGGAGGAGGAGATATGTAGAACGAGTGGATTGAGGTGATTTTGAGTTGAATGTGAAATGTTGTGTATTTTACGTGAATGTAAGATTTTTCTGAAATTTTTTAGTCTTTATGTAAATTATAGTAATTTGAAATATATATCATCGCTCGTTAAAGATTTTTTAAGAATTTTAGAATGTGTTATTTATATTTTGTTTACATGTGTTTATTTTGCTTAACCTCAAAGTTCTTCATCAATATATCAGAATCGGTCTCATTATTGATACTGTATATCAGCCGCATCTTTGATTGTAAAGTATCGTCATAGATTTTTAGGTACAGGGTTGATGTTGATAGTTAAAGGTGGATTTGGGGCTGTAATTAGAGTAAAACTGACTTGTCTTGATTAAGAAGCGATTATTTTATTTTTATTTATATGAAAATACCTTCAATGTCAAACAAATCATTGTGAAGAGCAATATATAGTGAAGTCGTATTACTGTAGGAAGATAGTAATGTCATCGAATGTGAAGATAGGTAACTAAGACATAGGTGGTGATGCAAGGGAGCTCAGAAATATCAGAAGTGTATAGTGAATTAGAAAAAAGAAGGAGCTCATTTACTTGTTCCAAATTTCATTTTCATTGGGTGATTTGGATCAGAGCGAAGAAAGATTGAAATGTAATGCATCGAAGAGATCAAATTACAGAAACAGCAATATACATATAGAATTTATCCGTTAAAAAAAAAAATTAAGATGTGTGCTTTATACCATAGAATAGAAGTGAAAACATCAGCTGGGCGATATTAATAATATGAAATATAAATTATAAATAATAGCTCATTATAAAGAGAATGAAATGTTGAACATTTCCCTAATATGCAGGTCCGATTTTTAGTTTCTGAGATATTTTAATCCATATGTTCTATAAAACTCGTTATTATTTAGTTTTCGACAATATTTTTTCGATTCAAAAATATTTGAATATTCAATATTCAAGTGTTATGGAATATTTTATATTCAAAAACACTTCAATTAGTCGACTTTACGCGAGCGTTACGCATCGGGAATCTGACGGCTCAATCTAATTCTCTCTCCAGAAAAAAAGTGCAAAACGTGCCTAAAGAAGCTTTCACTTCAAAAAATACAATTTTTTTCTATTCATATTGCCTAATACTGTTGGCCAAATCTCATTCATAAAAAAATGCAAATATTTTATATTTTTAAAAAAGTACATATATCGTTTATCTACTAGTTGCCATTTAGATCTAGTTGATATATTAGATCACGCTAGAAATTTTGGGCATATCCCTTTCTTTTACCGTTTGGAAAGTACTTTTTAATGTATTTAATTTTCGTTACATGAGCGGATTGTTGAAGACTTGGAGGAGTTATAAAGAGTAAACTGGGCAGGGCGCATGTCCCCACGGAGAGAGACCCTTGTAAATCCTTGGGCTCCCTTCAAGACTTTAATTGGCAGTATTTTAGGCTCTGGCTTTTTTATAGGCCTCTGCGGTGCCTTATTCGTACCTCTCTGCCTCCGGTTCTGATAATAAGCCTTATGATGGGTAAGGGCGGATAATAAAACTGGAAGGTATATAACTGGGATTTGGAAGCGAAACCGTTTATAGAAATTCAATTTCAAATAGAGGATAAGACTTTTATTATCATCTTAAAACTAAATAAATCATAAAATATTAATAAGGTGTAATAAAAAGATAGAACTAAATGGAATAATTTCGAAAGTCTCCACGCTTTCATCTACACATCAGACTTAAAAACATAAATAAAAGGTTAAGATGACTTCCATATATAGTGCGTTCAATCTCACAGAACACGGACTAATTAGCAGTTACTAACGTAAGTCAATACTCGGCCGATTAGAATTATAAATAAGAGAAAACTAAACACCGGAACATTTGTTATATTTACGATTGTCTCATAACGAGCGATTCAAAAGTCTTGTAAAAACTTAGAAGAAAATAAATATACTTGAATAATAATTTGTAGTCCATTGGAATTTTTTATGCCTATTTACTTTAAACGATGGTCTAGATCAGGGGTCTCCAAGCTTTTTGGTCCGCGGACCGCATTGAGACCTCCAATAAGTCCTGCGCGCCATATTGAGACCTCCAATAAGTCTCACGGGCCGTATTGAGACCTTCAATAAGTCCCCGGAGCTTGTTGTATAAATGACGCTTCAGTTGTGATTTGAGCTATATAAGAGAAACAATAAATACTGCGACAACCCATTTTTGAGTGATTCATCAGATTTTATATTTCTAAATAGTTTTTTGAAATGCTACTATGTAATTAAAGAACCATTTTGGGGCCGGATCGGAAGTACTTCGAAGGGCCGTTGTTTAGAGACTCCTGGTCTATATTGATCTCAGCTAACTTCATCTTCGTTCATTTGGGACCATCTACTTGTTCCGGGTTTCTTGTTAAAGTTTTAGCATGAATGGCTGGTTGATGGGTATGAATATGTCCTTAACTCGATTTAGAATTTAATTTGGGTGGAAGGGAATTTACTGTATATAACCGTAATTACTCCTTGTCCTTGGTCCTTGAAGGCCTGTTGAAAGGCCAAAAAAAAAAAGTTAATTTCAGAAACAATAATCCTTTTTGGGATTAATCTTTTACATATTTTTTTCTGAAACATGCTTACATTTAGTAAGCAAGAGAACATACTGTAATAGTTTAAATATTTTGCTTTTATCACTTACCATAACAATTATGAGTCAATAAAAAAAAATATCCATCCATTAAAAGAAAGAAGCTTCAGCTCAAAAGTTCCCCATTTGTAGATCCACCAGGGCTTCTTTGACTTAGAATTTGATTGATTCAATATTACTCCTCATCAATAAATATTAATTTAAGAATATTGTTTTTAGTATCTTCTAGCGAGGTTTTAACGATTGTTAATGGAGGTGTGAGGAAATTTATTTTTTGTTTTATTTCGTCGGTAGAAAAAAGACACTTGATACACTTTTTATTGAGTTAAATTTGTAAGTACTTTTGTAAATTTCGACCTCAAACATAAAAAATAAACACACCTTCTTGATGACTCAATAAATAAATAACACAAACTACTCAAACAGTCTTCACAAACATGGTTTTTATCTGAGGTTTTTTTTTATGTTGATAAAGCTTATTGTCTTATTATGTACCCTAATAATATACCCTCTTATTCCGGCAGCTGAGCCCAGTGGGCACGACCATCTTCACGGGGCTGAAGGCCGTGGACCCAGACGCAGGAGCCAACGGTTTGGTGGAGTACAGGGTGGTGCAGGGGTCGGCGGGGGGCGCCCAGGAGCGGCTAACAGTGGCCGATGGCTCCAAGCACTTCGCCATCAACCTCCCGCACCAGGGCCAGGTCACCGTAGCGAGGCCCCTCGACTACGAGAAGACTCAGCGATACCTCATCACTATCGTAGCAAGCGTAAGTTACTATTATTTTAACAACATTATATTAAAGCCCTGAGGCAGTTTATCCTTTCTAGTGCTGTTATAAATATATTAAGTTAACAGAAACAAAATTATAGCAGACTGACAGACTCCCATCAGATTAACGAACTTACAACAGACTTAATATTGAACTCAAGCGACAGATTGGAAAATTCAAACGAACAACCTATGACAGCTACATCAGAAATCTCTCAACCGACGTTGGAAGTGGAGACATACCAAAAACCTTATAAAGCATCGTGAAGTGCCAGCGCCCTTTCGAAGAGAAGATGATTCCTGGGCCGTGACAGACGGAGAAAAATCAGAACACTTTGCCGAATATCTTTCTTGTTTTTGTACCACACACAGACTTCACTAACACTGTGCACGATAACAATATACTAAACACTTTAGACGTGCCCTTACAACTAACTTCACCTCCTATTTCATTTACACCTTCCCAGATTGCTGAAAAATCAAAAAGTTTCATAAAAGAAAAGCTCCTGGACATGACTTGATTAACGCTAAAGTGCTCCAACAAATGCCTAGAAAAGCTGTAGTGCTTTTGACAACTATTTATAATGCAATACTGAGGACAACTAAATTTCCAGTATAGTGGAAATACTCACATATAATAATGATTCACAAGCCTAACAAGGACACAACTCACCTTCCACATACTGACTAATCAGCTTACTACATTTTTGAAAGCTTACTGAACAAAAAACTTGTTGATATACTAACAAACACCCAAATAATACCTTACCATAAATTTTGATTTAGGGTACATCACTCAACTGTACACCAACTACATAGACTAACGGACTACATATCTACAGCACTAGAGCAGAAAGTATATGCAACTGGCGTATTTCTGGATGTTGCTCAAGCGTTTGACAGAGTTTGACACTAGGGTCTTCTCTTTAAACTCAAGACAATACTCCCTAACTACTCCCTAAACTAAGACCTACATATTATCTAATTCTACAATCCTTCCTTTCTGATAGATTTTTCTCGGTCCGACACGGGTCAGAACTATCTTCCATCAGGTCTATCTCAGCAGTAGTACCTCAAGGTTCAGTACTCGCTCCACTACTCTATATCACATACACCCATGACATACCTTGCAGTCCCAACATTTTAACAGAGACATATGCATACGACACCGCAATTTTAGCAAGACACAAAAATCCAACATACGCCTAACTCCAATCCATACTAAATCCAACACAAAAATTGGATCATACAACAGTATTTAACAAGATTACATGACTGGTTCAAAATTTGGTCATGTAATATCCGACTAAATCAAGACAAATCACAGCACATCACATTTACGCTTCGACATGAAACATGCCCTCCAGTTTTCCTTGACAATACACAGATTCCACATACAGATACCGTTCACTACGTTGGTCTGACATTTGACAGAAAAATGACGTGGGCCCCACCGCATATAATCAAGAAACGAAAATCGCTAAATCAAAGGTTAAGAATTCTGAGTTCACTTCTTTCGAAAAGTTCAAAACTAAAACTTAAATAGAAATTGAACACATGCAATTACTTACTAAAACCCATTTGGACTTACGCATCACAGATATTTGGAACTGCTAAAAAGACTCACTTAAACAAACTTCAAATCTTTCAAGCAAAAACATTCAGAACAATTACAAAAGCACCTTGGTACGTTAGCAACATAACCTTACATGCTGACTCCATATGCCGACTGTTAACGAATACATACGAACTCATTACAAACGATTCCATGACAACTTACAAGGACCTACTCGGGTTTTGTAGGTGTGTCATATCACACAACTATTTATATGGGATCCCTGCAATTAAACATACAAAATTTGTGACATTTTTCATAAAACAATATCTTTCTGCCGTTCGATTCTTAAGCTAGAAAACAGTTTTATCAATGGCGGCCTTCCAGCTGCGGATTCTGTTCTTTCTATATTATTTTTTATTTTATATATTTTTTTTTGTAACAGGAGTGCCTAGAAGGGGGTTCATGATGGAAGTTTTTAAAAAAATTAAGAAATTTTTGAAGGGGCACATATTTACGAGATTTTAGAATTTTTGAGGGATAAACATTTTGACGGGGTTATGACTTTTTGAAATAAAAAGTTTCAAACTAGGGGACAAGAAGAAAATATAGAACAAGCCATTAAATGTGTAATTGTATATGACTTATGATTTTTAAAATTATACTTGAGCTTGCACTGTTTTGAAGAAGTGGAAAGCAATGAAATATCTTGGAAGAAGGTGGTGGGGAGAGGCTTATGCGACATCGACCTTGATCATATTGGCAACAATAGGCAGTCACCCCTGCGTTTGGAATACGGTTAGTTCTAGTTGAGGAAGCGCGCATCCTGGTTTGGTCCTTAGTCCATCAAAGGCAATCCAGTTATAAAACCTTCTAATTTTCACAACGACTTTTTTTATAGTAGTAGTAAGATTTTAAGAGTTAGAATCGGGGTTCATTACTTCATAATTTCTCATTTGATACCTCATTCATGAAAACATACCGTCCCTGCGAACCGGAAAAGAGTTTCATCTTTACAATCGTATTATATTTAGTGCGGATAGGAAAATTTATTGAGGATAATTATTATTTTTAAATGAGCTATTAATAATTTTTATAGAGGAACAATTCATTTGATATGGTCGTGCCTCTATTTATATCGTGCTTGTTAACTATCAGTAGCTTACACGGTCGTTATTCCCAGGGTAGCAAACAATAGTACCTTTCTTATTTCTTACCTCGTTGCAATAAACCTATAATTTGACTAACAAGATTAATAGAATATCCCTCTTTAAAATGTTTTAAAACTAAATTTAATGAACTTAAGTAATAAAAATATAGCTTTTTTCGCCTTCAACCTTCCTCTCCACCTAGACGATCATTGGCGGTATGTTTTTATACCTAATTGTAATAGTTGGTTTCTATTTACTATCGGAACAGAATGGTCACTTCCTCGTAAAAGTAGACAACAATGTTAATTTGTCTCTGATTTATTTTTCCAAAATGATTGTGATCTAGTAATAAGTGTTTGACTGACTTTTTTTTATTATTATTAAAACACTTTATTCAGAAATATTACAATTTGTCACAGTTAAGGACACTTATAATAGAGTTCAGAGATTGCATTCATACCGTATATACAAAAATATAAATAAATAAAGTAATAACAAAAGAATAAGAAGAAAGAACAAAAGAGTAAAGAAAAAAAATAATATATATACACATAAGTAAATAAAAATAGAAATAAAAGTAAAACAAACACCTTATATAAAACATACATTATTTACAATTTGCCAGGTGATCTCCGAACCAATCCTGTCCCCTCCACATGTGGAGGGAAAAGGGAGGCCTAGGAGATCCCTACGCTTCTCCCTCAGCCACTTCACTGGTATTTTAAACCAGCGGAGGATGAGTAAGAGCGCTACAGCCACAGACACTCATGACTTGAGTGGAGAATCTGGCCATTGCTAGAACTCCAAAATATCCATATTTACAAAAGGTCTCGTGGCCACTGCCGCTTTAACCTACGAAGGGGATTGTAGGGATGGGTGGTGCTTGATAGAGATTGTACAACGGGATTTGGGTGATGAGAAAGGTTCTGGTGAAATTTGGAAAATTTGGCTGGGATAAGATCAAGAATAAATGGGATATTAAGGTCATGATGTAGGGTTTTATTGGTTACATAGAAGGGAGCATTGACTATTGTACGGAGGACTTTAGACTGAAAGGATTGAATGCGTTTGATGTTAGAAAATTTGGCTGTTCCCCATAGTTCTAGTCCGTAAGTCCAGATGGGTTTCAGTATTGTCTTGTAGATCAGTAATTTGTTTTCACCAGAAAGTTTAGATTTTCTATTCAGTAGTCTATATAGCTGGCCATATCGTCTGTTAAGTTCCTGTCTTTTAAGTCGAGTATGTGGATTCCATGTTAGTCGTCTGTCTAAGAGAAAGCCAAGATACCGGACTGTATCTGAGAAAGGAAGCTGGATGGAGTTAAAATAAACTGGTGGGCAGGTATTACGCCGAAGGGTGAAGGTAATGTGTTTACATTTAGATTCGTTTACCTTAATGCGCCATTTCTTACACCAGTGTTCAATCAGGAAGAGGTGCCTTTGTAAGTTTGCGGACGCTGTTTCAGGATCTGAGTTGGAAGAAAGGATAGCAGTGTCATCAGCGAAAGTTGCCAGGAGGGTATCGGGATGGACAGGAATATCAGCGGTAAAGAGAATGTAAAGGATGGGGCCCAAGACGCTGCCTTGAGGAACGCCAGCCTCAATTGAGTAACAGTCGGAGAATTCGGTGCCACAGCGAACTCGGAAGGAGCGGTCGGAAAGATAGGATCGGAGTACTAGGTATAAGGACTGTGGTAGATGGATTTTAAGCTTGAAGAGTAATCCGGCGTGCCATACCCGGTCAAAAGCTTGCGCTATGTCCAGAAATGCACCCGAGCAATACTGCTTGCTTTCTAGGGTTGAGGATATATGGTCAACAACTCGGAGTCCTTGCTGGACAGTGGAATGTTGGGAACGAAATCCGAATTGATGAGTAGGAAGGTTATAGGATTCAATTATAGGTAGGATTCGTTTCAGTAGGATCTTTTCAAAAATTTTTGAGAGGATTGGGAGTAGGCTAATTGGTCTATAGGATGCTGTATTGTTGGAAGGTTTGCCTGGTTTCAAGAAGAGGACGATGGTGGAATGTTTCCATAAAAGAGGGAAGTGGGTAGTTCGTAGGATGCAATTGTATATATATGTAAGAAATGTGATGGCTTTAGATGGAAGTTGTCGAAGGATCTGTGGGGTTAGAAGGTCATATCCAGGAGATTTGCGAGGTGTGATTTTCCGTAAAAGGTATTTGACCTCAGAGGGATTAACAGCTTTAGGTGGTAAGGAGAGTGGGATAGGTATTGAGAGGGATTCTTCTACTTTTACTGTGTGGCTGGGATGGGATTCTGGATGAGGAGCG